AGCCCCATGTTGCACTCTGTGCTGACAGCTCTGAGCCTGGAGCCTGCTTCAGATTCTGTGTCTCCTTCTTTCTCTGCCCCTCCCCTGCACTCTCTCTCTCTCTCCCCCTCTCTCTCTCTCTCTAAAATATTAAAAAATTTTTAAAAAACTTTCTATATTGAAGAAAGAAAAAAACCGAAAAGCCCCATAACATAGACAAAAACAGAAGGAAAGAAAATGAAAAAACAAGTAAAAAGAACCCAAATGGGGGTAGATCCACTTTTCCCTAGAACTGAAACTTTGTAGTACACTATGATCCATAGACTAAGTGGATAGAAGGGGTTTTTGCTGGTCTTCTCGGGGAGAGCCCTGCTGCTGTTTCTCAGGCCAATTTGCCCTAGTGGGGATGTGCCTGGAGAGTACAGGTGGATAGGGCTTGTTATAACAGCTACATTCTCCATTTTATGGTACTGCTTAGCTCACTGGGGTTGATCGCTATAGGTGAGCTAGGGGTGAAAATGGCTTCACCCCACTGTCTAGTCTCTATAAGTGGGAATTTTGCACCTTCACAAATGTGTGATCAGCTGCCCCTATTTTGTCTCAGGCTTCTATTCTCTCCCAACCTTTACTCTGTCCATATCCAAGCTGCTCTCTTGCCAGGTGGCACCTCCCTCCAGAGTTTTATCTCAGATGGGGATGTGTTTCAAAACCCCACACTTCAGAGACCCATGTGGCTTAGACCATGCTGATCCTCTGGGGGAGGGTCTTGCTGTGCAATTGCTGGATATTAACTTTTTCCAAAAAACATTTGCAGCAGACCACACAGTAGCAGAGGCTCAGAGTTTATGGTAAATCCCAACACACAGCCATCCCCAGGGTTTGTTGCCCTCAGCTAGTGTCTTTGTTCCTGTATCAGTAAACATGGTAGCTCTCTGGGGCCTGCTGAGAATTTTGCCTGTGGAGAGGCCATATTGCATCTACCAAATGCACCCCAAGTAGGGGAACCCCCCTCCCTGTGTGGCACACAGATTTCTTAGACCACAATACCTGCTCCTAGGGGATTCACACTGCTTTCTCACCAGAGCATCACTAGGCACTGAGCTCTAAAACTTCAGATTCTGCATTTATTTAATGTTTTTTAATGTGTATTTATTTTTGAGAGGTAGACAAGAATGTATGCATAGGAGGAGCAGAGAGAGAGGGAGACATAGAATCCAAAGCAGGCTCTAGAATCTGAGCTGTCAGCACAGAGTCCACCTTGGGGTTCAAACCCTCAGACTGTGAGGTCTTGATCTGAGCTGAAGTCAGTTGCTTAACCAACTGAGCCACCCAGGCACCCCTGTGCTCCTCTGTTTATATAAAACTGTCAGTGTTGAAACTCTCTCCTTTTTCTCTGTCAGTGGTTTTGGGGAACAGATTTCTTGTCCCGTCCCCTGTGAATGTTTTTACTCTTTCTCTCTCTCTTTAGGTACTTTCAGGGGGAATGCTTTTCTTGCATGATTCCAACACACTGTACTGCCTCCCCCTTTCTCTCTCTGTCCTCTGTGAAAACGGCTCCCTAGCCTCCATGGTATGACAGCTTTTCTCTCCCCCAGTTCACCTCTGCACACCATATACCTGCCTAGATGTCTTGTTCAAATTATGCAGATTGCCATGCCAATCCTCAGATTAATTTCCTAGGTGTTCAAAATGGTTTGATGTTGATGTAGCAGTTTTTCTGGGATGACACAAGGTCCCCATACTACTCTGCCATCTTACCTCTTTGTATTCAGAGTTTTAACGTAAAATGAAACTTTTTAGACTATCTGAAGTATAAACACATCAAGAGATATTATCTTTTTTTTCTGAATGCTTTTTACTGAGTCTATTACCATATTGATAGTAGATCTTGCCAAAGCTATTGGCAGATTTGAGTATAGATTTCAGTATTCTTAATACCTTCTTTTGAAAAATAATTAAAAGATAGTAATGATTAGTATTTATTAATGACTACTGGTTATGATGTAGCAGGCACTATATCAAGCACTTTATTTACATTACATTTATTTAGGCTTATAATAGGCAAAGAAGGCAGGTGTTACGTCTAGTTTTGGATAAGTAAGGTACATAGCAGTTAAGTAAATAAAGCAACTCTATTAATGTCACATAGCTAAAGATGGCAAAGTGAGGATTCAAACATGGGACTGTCTGACTCCCTAGATCCATCTACCTAGTCTAGTGTTATACTGTATAACTTTCTGCCTAAGTTAGGCAGGAGTTCTGCTTGTCAATATTGAACCAAACCGTCTTTGTTTGCCATGGCATAGAAGATTCTCCCCAGAAGAGAAGAGTGTCCTCTTTATTGTTCCCTAATTTTAGCCTTGGACTTGGATGGTAGCCTACATGACTTTTGGCTTTGAGCCTATTTTATGACCTAGTAGTTGAAGAAACAAGCAGTTTATTTTTAAAAAAATAAAACTGTTCAAGGGATATTTCATTTCTCTATTTTTCGTCGTTTTCTGCTATGAAATTTCTTTCATGGAGAGCTTTTCTTAAGAGTTCAAAAAATTATAATAATATTAAAATATGCTATTTGTTAGAAATTTTGGCATAGGTACTCACTCAGAGATCTAGGAGGTTTTTTTTTAAGCAGAACATTTCTGAGCCATTTCTTTTCCTGTCTTCTTTCATTCTCCCCACTACCATCCCTCCCCTCAATTAAGAAATCAAAGGTTTTCAGGGCACCTGGGTAGCTCAGTCGGTTAGACTCAGGTCACGATCTCACAGTTCATGGGTTCGAGCCCCGCATCGGGCTCTGTGCTGACAGCTCAGAGCCTGGAGCCTGCTTCTGATTCTGTGTCCCCCTCTCTCTCTGACCCTTCCCTGCTCATGCTACCTCTGTCTCTCTCTCTCAGAAAGAAATAAAACATTAAAAAAAAAAGAAATCAAAGGTTTTCAATGATCTTCAGGGGTGGAAATGTAACCAGATTTTTAAAACTTTGGTCAAATGCCATTCAGTTTCTAAATGTTATCTGTGAAAGGACAAAGTATCAATTAGGCTAGCACTTCTTTCCAAAGAATGACAGTATTTTATATAAGCCAGCAATCTGTGGTCTATGTGCTTCCTCCAGTTTCTCCACAGGAAATTAGTTCTTTAAGGCAGCTTTGAATGCACTTGGATATCAAAAGATTTGTCCTTACCTACCAAATCAAGTTCAAACTTGTACTATACTTTCCAGACCCCTTTTTGCCTCTGCAGCTTGACGTTTTGACATCCCTTATTTTGTGCTTCAATCTCAGTCATCACAGATAGCCTGAATCTCTTGGAGGCGCCATACTTATTCACACTTCTGTGACTTCCCCCATGATGTTTTCTTCCTGGCATGCTCTTCCTATCTCTCTAACTCTCTCATCCAAGATATCGCGCCAGTGTCAACACTTCTCCAGAAAACCTTCCTTGAATCTCTGGTTGTTCTTAGTGTCTCTCCTCTGTTTTGGCATAGTCCCCCATGCACACCTGTGGCCTGGCACACACCGTATTAAACCAAAATGATCGGCGTAGGGCTTGTCTTGAGGATAAGATTGGTTTTGCTCATTTTTACCCTCCAAGCTCTTAGCACACTGCCTGGACATAGGAGGTATCATCCACAGATGTTTTCATTAAGCTGAACTTCCAGAAGAATGTGGACTAGGCTCTCAGAATACTACCTCTTTCTAGCATGGTGTGACACTGCAGTATAGTTCTGAGCTTGGGACCTGTCCCCTCTTGTGAGTGCTCCTTTGGCCCTTAGCAACAGTTCCACAGTCATTTGTCAAGTTAACTTTGTATTTCAGTCCTGGGGGTACATCTACATTACCCAGCTCTTTGGGCTGCATATTTCATTGAATGTTGACAGGGAACCAGAGGTGGCTAACACAGTGGCAGCACCAAATTCAGCTCATAGGCAAGTTTTGTTTGTTTGACGAACTATGAACCAGTATTGAACAATGTTTCAGTGGAAAAGCCAGATACCTGTTTTACTCTCTTACAAAGATCATTTTTGTAATGTGACTTCGCATTCACACGTGACAGCAGTTGCCTGGAACTGAGTAGTGGCTGCATGTTTTGGATGGTTTATCATGGTCCCTACCACTCCTTGGTGAGTCCCTGGCATTCAGGTGCTGCATGTCAGTTCTGTTTCTCTCCATGCACGATTTTTCTTATTGGAGAAAAATATTTTTCTGGAAGGGCAGGAGAGCATCGTCGTTCAGGGTGGGGACTCGGGAACTAGATTGCTGGGGGTCAGATCCTAGCTCTGCCACTTACCAGCCACTTCCTACCCTTGTGACTCTTACACGTTAGTCAGCGTCACTCAGTTTCTTTTTCTAGAATATGGAGGTAACAATGAAACTTCTCTCCCAGGGTGGTTGTAGTGATTAAGTGAGTTGATAATATGTGAAGCACATAAACCAATCTGACACATGGTAAACACTGTATGTATTAGTATTATTATTAGTCACGGCTTTAGGAAATGTGGAAAGTGAAACTAAGAGAGGGCTCTGTGTATCAAGAATATATGCCTTCAGGGGTGCCTGGGTGGCTCAGTCGGTTAAGCGTCTGACTTTGGCTCAGGTCATGGTCTCATGGTTCGTGAATTTGAGCCCCACATCTGGCTCTCTGCTGTCAGTACAGAGCCTGCCTCGGATCCTCTGTCCCTGTTCCTTTCCGCCCCTCCCCAACTCTCTCTAAAAAATAAATAAACATAAAAAAATGAAAATACATCTTCAGAGAAGCAAGAGAGAATTCATTTGTTGAAGCACTGGCATCCAGCCCTCCTTGCTCACTTACGTTATTGCCTGTGCCTGTGGGAATTTGACCTTGGACCACCTGTGGACTATGACCCTCAAGGGCTGACACTCTAAATTCAGTCTTGATTTGCATTGAGAAGCATATGCTTTTTAATCCCTTTCATCACAGATGAGAATCAGTATTCCATTTGTAAAGCATGCGTGTTGATTTAAAGTTCAATGCCAATTATAATTACTGGTACATTTTATTTTAGGGAAACATGCAGAACTCTTGGATCACAGCAGGTGAAGATTCTGGGGTGGATAAAGCTGCCGAGAGAGGATTCTTCCATGGCGATGCGGATGTCAAAGGCGCATCTGCTGGGGCAGCAAAATGGAAACTAGAACTGGTGAGAATTTGGGTGCTTTTCTCTTTTGTACTATATTGTGGTAAGTATGTCCAGAATAAAATTTAGCATTTTAACCATTTTAAAATTTACCATTTGAACAATTTTAAGTGTATAACTCATTTGCATTAAATACATTCACAGTGTTGTCAACTGTGAACACTTAAAGTTTTCTGTACAACCAGAATTTTTATCATCCCAGACAAAAACCCACTCTTGGGGCACCTGGGTGGCTCAGTCAGTTAAGCACCCAACTCTTGGTTTCCGCTCAGGTCATGATCTCGTGGTTTCGTGAATTGGAACCCCAAGTTGGGCTCTGAGCTGGTAGTGAGGAGCCTGCTTGGGATCCTCTCTCTCTTTCTCTGTCTCTCTCTCTCTCTCTGCCCCTCCATGATTCGTGCTTTCTCTGTCTCTCTCAAAATAAATAAATAATAAAAATAAAAAACTCCATACCCATTAAATAGAATTTCCATTCTCCTCTCTCCTAACCCTGTCTACTTTCCGTCTCTATGAATTTTTCTAGTACCTGGGCTATAAGGAATCAAACGATATTGGCTCTTCTGTGTCGGGCATGTTTCATCGAGCATAACATTTTCAGGGTTCATCTGAGGTATAGCACATAAGCAGAATTTCATTCTTTTTTCAGGGTGAGTCATATTCCATTTGTGTATATACCACACTTTATCCATTCATTTGCTGATGAAATTTTAGTTTGTTGCCAACCTTTCGGCTCTTGTGAACAAGGCTAGCATGAGCATCAGTGCACAAGTATCCGTTTTCACCCCTACTTTCGTTTCCCCCGGATATATAACCAGAAACGGGATTTTGGATCCTGTGGTAAGTCTTCATTCTTTTTCCTTTCTGCTCCTCAAGCTCGTCATTTCATGTGTCCTCTCTTCAGGTTTGAGGGTTCTTTGTTCTGCCGCTCAGATGTGCTCTTCTATACCTTTGGTGAATTTTTTATTTCAGTTATTGTACTTTCTGGCTCCAGGATTTTTGTTTAGTTCCTTTTATCATTTGTTTTCTTAATTTTTTAAAGGTTTTATTTTAATTCCAGTTAGCACAGAGTGTTATATTAGTTTCAGGCGTACAGTGTTTTCTTTATTTCTTGTGGTTCTTTGGACATTGACCAGTTTCCTTTTAGCTCTTTGAGCATTTTTAAGACAGTTGTTTTAAATTATTTTTCTAGGAGGCCTGGTGTCTGCAGATTTTTTAAGGTAATTTCTGTAGATTTATCCTATCCCTCTATGTGGGTCATATTTTCCTGTTCCTTTGTATGCTTTTGATTTTGTGTGTGTGTGTGTGTGTGTGTGTGTGGCTGAAAATTGGACATTGAAATGAACTATTATGATGTGGTAACTCTGGAAATCCCATCCCCCATTTCCCCATGGTTTTCTGCTTCTTTTATTGTTGAAGGTTGTGTTTTCCTATTGTTTTGAGACTTTTCCAATTTATTTTTGTAGACTATTCCTTGTTGTGTGTGATCACTGAAGTCTGTTTCGTTAGCTCACATTCTGCTAGTGTTGGACAGATTTCTCCGAATGCCAGGAGCTAAAACAAGTAAAACAAACCACCACCACCAACACACACGCACAGAAAACCCAAAACGAAGAGCCACCTCTGCCTGTCTTTGTGGATTGGCTCCGTGCTGGGGTGTTCCTTCAGTGTATAGCTGGGCTTGCTCTCGGCGCAGAGATCAGCTGGAGTGAAAGCTCAAGGTCTTCCCGAGCCCGAGCATATGTCTTCCTGGGGAAGGCTTTCTAAATGTGCCCTTGGCTTTCTAAATCCCCTCACATACACGCTGATTTTGAATGTCCTCACTTCCCAGAGCCTCAAATAATTTTATTTTCAGATCAAATCATGCTTTCAGATCATTTGATGTGTGTAACGGGCCTTTTTTTTTTCCTATTTGAAATCTTATTTGCATTAAGTATGATGTGGCAGAATTGATCAACAATGATGAAGATGTAAAAATGACACTGTAGGTGCACCTGGGTGGCTCGGTTGGTTAAACGTCTGACTTCAACTCAGGTCATGATCTCTTGGTTCATGAGTTTAAGCCCCGCGTCAGGCTCTGTGCTGACAGCTCAGAGCCTGGAGCTGCTTTGGATTCTGTGTCTCCCCCTCTCTCTGCCCCTCCCCTGCTCATGCTCTGTCTTTCTCTGTCTCTCAAAAATAATAAATAAGCATTTGAAAATTTTTTTTAAATGACACTATAAATGGAAGGTTCTAGAGGGAGGTAGGATGGAATATAGTTCAGTTCTCATTATCGTCTGTAGGTTTTATTGATCGAGTATCTGAAGGCTCTTTCGGGCACTAACCTCCCTCTCCTTTCTCAGCTCCTAACCCAAGCTTTATACCACTATTTGGAAAGAGTTATTTTTTTAAAAAAATGAAAGATTAAATTGCATTTTCTTCCCAGCTGAATAATCTGTAATAACTACTTAATACCCGCAGAAGAAAGACCACTCTCCCCAGCTGTCCACACTTTGGTTCAAGTTACCTTTCTTGACTCATTTCTGTCAGTCCCCCAGACATCACTGTAGGCACACAGACCCCTCACTACTTACCCACTTACTACCCACTTCCATTTCTGTTTGCATTACTGGCTGTGGTTTACGCAGACATCCTGACCTAAACTTTCCTCCTTAACTTCTGCCGACCGAAATCCTTCAGCCTGCAAGGCTTCGTTCAAATGCCCCTTCCCATTCTGTCTTCCTTGATTGCACACTTCCACTCCTTTTCCCACAGGAGCATTACTCTCTTGAGGCAGCTGGGTGGCTCAGTCGGTTGTGCATCTGACTTTTGATTTCAGCTCAGGTCCTCATCTCCTGGTTTGTGGGATCGAGCCCAATGTTGGGCTCTGCGCTGACAGTGCGGAGCCTGCTTGGGATTCTCTGTCTCCCTCTCTTTCCGCCTCTCCCCTGCTCATGCACACAAGCACTTGCACTCTCTCTCTCTCAAAATAAATAAACTTTAAAAAAAAAAGAATTTCTCTCTTACGTCTCCTCTTAGTGTTGTGTTTATAATGATTCTAGATTCATTTTTCTCCAGTTTGTGGCAAACTTCAGTCCCTACATCTGTGTGCCCTCTGTCCCTGGTCCTCCTCACTGTTTTTGAAGGGTTTTACTCTTGTACTGATCTCCTCTCACTCTTGTATCTTTACTCCCTCTTTCCTGGGTTATTCTCAACAGAGTATGTGCTTTACTAGCTCCCATCTTAAATCAAGCATGTATAAAATATATTCTCTCAACCGTATGCTTTTTCCAAACTTTCACCCAACTATTGCACTTCTTCATACCGAAGCCTTCCCAAACAGTTGTCCACATTCATGTCTCCATTTCTCCCTCCCATTCTCTCTTTAACATACTTCAGTTGAGCTGATACCTCATGTTGACCTAAACTTGTTTTTTTCAAGGTCACTAATGACCTCCACAGATCAGTCCACGTCTTCCTGAGCCTTGCAGCAGCATTCTATAATACGTATAAGCTCATGCCATATTCCTTTACATGTCTAATGACCCCATTTAACATAGATTCAGGAAAATGCACAAAACAGGGGCTCCTGGGTGGCTCAGCTGGTTAAGCATCTGACTTGATTTTGGCTCAGGCCACAGTCGCACAGTTTGTAGGACTGAGCCCTGCATCAGGCTCTGTGCTCACAGCAGGATTCTCTGTCTCCCTCTCTCTGTCTCTGCTCCCCCCCTGCTTGTGCTTTCTCACTTTCTTTCAAAATAAATAAATAAAAATTTCAAAAAAGTGCACAAAACAAAAATGTGCAGCTTAATAGTTTATGACCTAATGAACACCCGGATGTGATTGTCACCTGTAAGAGGTGTCCAGAAGCCCTCTCAGTGCCCAGAAGCCTGTCCCAGAAGCCCTCTCTGTGCCCCTCCTAATCACTGCCCCCTCATTCCCTTAGAACTAATCACTATCTTGACCTTTATGAAAATTGCCTAAGCAAGATCTCTGGACACCTTAGTTGATGTCTGCCTGCATTTTTAAACATTGTAAACACTGGGTCACACAGTGTGTATTTGTCTATGTCTGGATTTTGTTTAACATTATATTTGTTAGATTCATACATATTGTTGCATGTGGCAGATGTTTGTTCACTTTCAGGGGTGGGTCTACTGTGTAAATATACTACAATTCATTTATCCTTTCCTCAATTGATGGATTTTTGTGTTATTTCCAGTTTGGGGCTATTGTAAATGTTGCTGCTATGAACTTTCTATCTATCTATGTATCTATGTATCTATCTATATATCTATGTATCTATCTATCTATTTTAGAAAGAGAGAGAGTATGAGAGAGAGAGTATGAGCAGGGGAGGGCAGAAGGGAAGAGACAGAATCTTATTTCTTTATTAAAAATTTTTTTAATATAATTTATTGTCTAGTTGGTGTCCATACAACAGCCAGTGCTCATCCCAACAAGTGCCCTCCTCCATGCCCATCACCCACTTTCCCCTCTCCTACCCCCCATCAGTCCTCAGTTTGTTCTCTATATTTAAGAGTCTCTTATGGTTTGTCTCCCTCCCTCTCTGTAACTTATTTTTCCTCTTCCCCTCCCCCATAGTCTTCTGTTAAGTTTCTCAAGATCCATGTATCAGTGAAAACATATGACATCTGTCTTTCTCTGACTGATTTATTTCACTTAACATAATACTCTCCAGTTCTATCCACACTGCTGCAAATGGCCAGATTTCATTCTTTCTCATTGCCAAGTAGTATTCCCTTGTATATATAAACCATATCTGCAGAAATAAACAATATAGAATCCAAAAAAAATAAAAAACCCTAGTAGAACAGATCAATGAAACCAAGAGTTGGTTTTTTGAAAAAAATAAACAAAATTGATAAACCTCTAGCCAGGCTTCTCAAAAAGAAAAGAGAGAAGACCCAAATAGATAAAATAATGAATGAAAATGGATTTATTGCAACCAATTCCTCAGAAATAGAAGCATTTGTTAGGGAATACTATGAAAAATTATGTGCCAACAAACTGGACAACCTGTAAAAATGGACAAATTCTTAAAAAAATTTTATTAGAGAGAGACCATTGCTCCGTGCCCCCCCAGCATGTTGTATTGTCAGGTTTTCTGGTGGGCTTGTGGTGCTATGTCATTGTGGTTTTCATTCGCAGTTCTCCGATTCTTCATGAGACTGAATACTTATTGGTGTGCTCCTCCGTGAGGTACATGTTCAATACCTGCACATTATTTTGACTTATCTGACATTGGCTTTTTTTTTGAACTTCTTTGTGTGTTCTAGACATAAGCCCTTTGTTGGCTGTATCTGTTGTAAATATATTTTCCCGCTCCGTGGCTTGCCTTATAATTGTCTTGATAGTTCTATTCATTTCTTTCTCTTGTTTTCTCTCTTTTTTTTCTTTCCTTCCTTCATGACTAAAATTTCTTAATTTTAATGTCATCCTGTTTATCAGTTTTTTTTTCCACTTTATTGTTTAGTGCTTTTGGTGTCCTATTTAAAAGATGAGATCTTGCCATTTGCAACTATGTGGATGGAACTAGGGGATTATGCTAAGTGAAATTAGTCAGAGAAAAACAAATATCATATGACTCTACTCATATGAGGAATTTAAGATACAAAGCAGATGAACATAAGGGAAGGAAGCAAAAATAATATAAAAAAGGAGGGGGACAAAACATAAGAGACTCTTTATATGAATATAGAGAACAAACAGAGGGTTGCTCGAGAGGTTGTGAGAGGGGAGATGGGCTAAATGGGTGAGGGGCAATAAGGAATCTACTCCTGAAACCATTATTCCACTATATGCTAATTAACTTGGATGTAAATTAAAAAATTAAAAAAACAAAGTGAGTTTCTTATAGACAAAAAAAATGTATCCCTGCCCCAGATCATGAAGAGATTCTCTTAGATTTTCTTCCGGAAACTTTATAGTCTTGTTTTTAACATTTCAATCTATAATCTACCTGGAATTTATTTTTATATTTGATGTGATGTGTAAGGGTCAGCTTTTATTCTTTTCTCATATGGTTGTTTACACATATATGAATATAACATACATATATAAATACATACACACATATTAAACACTTGTTGAAAAGATGGTCCTTTGTCTGACTCTTTGTCACAAATCAGGGGTACATAAATGTCTGGGGCTCTGTCTTCTATTTCCTTGTTGTTTGTGCTACGACCATCCTCTCTTGATTGCTGTAGCTTTCTACCTGGTAGACTACTTACATCTTCCAACATTGTACTTTGTCCCCAAAAGTGTCTTATCTCTGGCCTTTTGTATTTCCAAATACATTTTAGAATTAATTTTTCAAGTTCCAAAAACCATATATGAGGTTTTGATTGAGACTGTCTATTTTTTACATTTTTTAAAATGTTTATTTATCTTTGAGAGAGAGACAGAGCATGAGCAGGGGAGGGGCAGAGAGAGAGGGAGACACAGAATCTGAAGCAGCTCCAGGCTCTGAGCTGTCAGCACAGAGCCTGACATGGAGCTTGAACTCATGAATGGCAAGATCATGACCTGAGCCAAAGTTGGACACTTAACTGACTGAGCCATCCAGACGCCCCTTGTCTGAGATTGCCTTTAAGCTAAAAGTCATTTAGGAGAAAAGATATCTTTATGATACTGTATTATCTAATCTATTAAACTTATGTATTACTCTATTTATATAAGACATCTTTAATTTTTGTCAATAACCTTTTACAGTTTTTTTCTTTTTTAAACTTTTTAATTTTATTTATTTTGAGAGAGAGAGAGACAACACACTGGGGGGCGAGGATGGGGGGCGGGAATCCCAAGCAGACTCCTCACTGTCACTACAGAGCTCGAAGGGGGGCTTGAACTCACAAAACCATGAGATCATGACCTGGACCTAAACCAAGAGTTGGACACTTAACTGAATGAGCCCCCCAGGTGCCCCCTCCAAGATTATTTTTAATGTTTTTTTCCTCCCCTGTTATCTGTTCAATTATAAAATTCTGTCAATTTGGTTTTATATAACTCCATACTAAATTCTTTTCTCTTCTTACTGTTTGATTACTCTTGTTTATGTGTGCATCTCTTCCGTATGTATTTGTGGCGCACTTCTCCATTGGTCTTCCCTTTTCCACGCTTCAGAGGGACTTAAGAATCAAATATGATAAAGTTTTCAGTGTCCAGCCAATGCTTCTACTACATGGAGACTACATGAGTTGTCTGGGGAAAGGCCTTGTGTATTTATTCTCATGGCCCATTCTTACCTGTTCCAACCCATCTCTATCTCTTCTTCCACCCACATTTTATTTGTACGGATACAGATCTGCTTACTGGCCAAATACTCAGCATGTTTTCTCTCTTGCCTTTTGCTCTGTTGGATATTAATCCTTTAAGTTTTAGCACTTCTACTCCTCTTAAGCTGAATTACAAGTTCCTGCCTTTGTGATTTCATTTTACCTTCTAACTGACTCACTGGGGTGAATTACATATAAGTGAAATTGTCCATGTGTATGCAGGGTTTTTTTTTTTTTGTTTTTTTGGATTATATATTTGAGAGAGAGAGAGAGAGAATGCACAAGTGGGAGAAAGGCAGAGGGAGAGAGAGAGAGGAGAGGAGAGAATGAGAATCTTAAGCAGGCTCTGTGCTCAGCGCAGTGCCCGACATGGGGCTCGATCTCATGACCCTGGGATCATGACCTGAGCTGAAACCAAGAGTCAGACACTCAACAGACTGAGCCACCCAGGTGCCCCTGTCCATTTGTTTTTCTCTTCTGTCCTAGATGATAAGCTTCCTGAGGTTAAAGGCATCTTCATCTTAGATACCCAAAATATGTTGGTAAAACGAAAGAATGTGGGACACCAGCAGACCCTTGTAGCTAGTATATCAGTTTGGCCTGCCATTTATTGTGATTCATAACTTTCCTTTTATCGTTTATGCAGTGCACATTTATTATATGTCTATGTGCAGCAGTCACAGAGGGGGATTCTAGTAAGATCTGATCCTTGCCCTCACAGACCGTAGAGGTTATAATTATTTTTTCCCAGAGTCGCACTTTTATTTATTTGTTTGTTTGCTTGTTTGTTTATTTTCACATCACACTTTTAAAAGTAAGACCTGATGAATGCAATTTTGAAAAAATTGGGGGGAGGGGGCAGCACTAATAACCATTTCATGACTCAATATTTTTTGCAGGTATACACTCAATAAAAGTATAAAATTTCGGGTGGACTAGGGAAAGTGTACTTGAGAGAACACATTAATTTTCCTCTTGGGTAAAAGGAAAAAAATTGAGTTTAATATGAATAATTGAACCTTGTTTATAAAGCATGGGACATGGAGAAAATGTACACTTTTTGCTTTCTTTTCTAAAGGAGAGACTGAAACTTACTTATGAAGAAAAGAGCGAAGTCCTAGAATCTCAATTGAGGATTTTGAGGTAAAGTATCATTGTCCATTTAAAAAATCATAGCAAAAGCATAATCTTTCAAATATATTTGGATGTTTGCTGACCTTCCCTTCTTACTCAATATAAGAGTTACTTGATGACATTTTATGTATAATAGAAGAAATATCCTTAGGTTATTAAAGGATAAGGGGGCGTAAAATTGTGAAGTCCTTTTCCAAATCACATTTCCCAAGAACTGTGAGCTAAATTACAAATTTTATGCCTTCCTCAGTTATGAAATATTTGTGTTTATAGAAATAAGAGTCACTAGCTGCTCTGATAGAAACCATGCTTTTAAAATAAAATACTGAAAATGGGGTGCCTGGGTGGCTCAGTCAGTTAAGTGTCCGACTTCGGCTCAGGTCATGATCTCATGGTTAGTTGGTTTGAGCCCCGCGTCGGGCTCTGTGCTGACAGCTCAGAGCCTGGAGCTGCTTCAGATTCTGTGTCTCCCTCTCTCCCTGACCCTCCCCTGTTCATGCTCTCTCTTTCTCTCTCATAAATAAATAAAACATTAAAAAAAATTTTTTTAAATACTGAAAATAAAGCATTTTAGTTTTCAACTTCCACGGAGGTATTGTTTTTCTCTATAGGCATTTGTGTCTAATTTTTAAAATTGTGACCATAATAGTTTGAACATTTTTCTATACGTGATGAATATGAGAATATATCCACCCCCTTCTCCGTGGGGGTGTGTTCCAAGGCTCGCAGTGGATGCCTGAAACTGGATGGTACAGAATGCCGTATATATTGTTTTTTCCTGTACGTCTCCGTATATATTGTTTTTTCCTGTACGTACGTCCCTGTGATAAAGTTAGTAAGAGATTAGGCACAGTAAGAGATTAACAGCAATAACTTACAATAAAATAGAACAGCTATAACAATACACTGTAATAGCAGTTACATGAATGTAGTCTCAAAATATCTTATTGACCTTCTTGTGATGATGTGAGATCTAAAATGCCTGTGTTGAGGTGGAGGGTGGTGAAGGATGTAGGTGAAGCAGCCTAGGCTTCACCTACCAATGACCTTCTGATGCTCTGTCAGGAGGGTCATCTCCTCCCGGACCTCAGCTGATGGTGAGTAACTGAACTCATGGAAAGTAAAACTGTGGATAAGAGAGAGACTTCTTTTTTTAATTTTTTAAATGTTTTATTTATTTTTGAGAGAGAGAGAGACAGAGTACAAGTGGGGAGGGGCAGAGGGAGAGGGAGACACAGATTTGGAAGCAGGCTCCATGATCTGAGGTGTCAGCACAGAGCCTGACCTGGAGCTTGAACCCATGAACTACGAGATCATGACCTGAGCTGAAGTGGGTGCCTAACCCACTGAGCCACCTAGGCACCCCTCTATAGATACTTTTTTCATGAAAAAAACCAATATTTTTTAAATGGCTTATTTTTTTGCATTCTTGCTTTTTATCTTGCTTTATTATATTTTGATGTCTACTGTGTTTTGAATCTTCAGTTAAAAAATTTTTTTAAACGTTCATTTATTTATTTTGAGAGGGAGAGAACTTGAGCAGGGGAGGGGCAGAGAGAGGGAGAGGACAGAGGATTTGTGCTGACAGCAGAGAGCCCTATGTGGGGCTTGAACTCACGAACTGCAAGATCATGATGTGAGCCGAAGTTGAACACCTAACTGACTGAGCCACCCAGGCACCCTGAGTCTTCAGTTTTTAAGTTAATATATTTCTAGGTCACTATACTATGGAAATGTGACTTCTGTTGTCTCATTCAGAAGTCAAATATGCTATCTTTAATTATATTAGAATACCACTTTGTAATGACTTTATTCCCTGCATCCTTCTGGGGTTTTTCTCCTTTAGCATAACTTAAGAGTATTTAAAGAGGCATTTTCTTTCAGAAAGAGTTAAAACCACCGCTCTTAGAAACTCTGGCTGTTTTGGTACTTCTTTCTTTTCTCTTTTCTTTCTTTCTCTCTCTCTCTCTTTTTTTTTTTTTTTTTTTTTTGCCATTTCAAGTAATCAGATCTACCTGAGTGTTTTGAATTTGAAACTGACAGAAATATTAATGCAGACCTTTTGACTTTGTAATGTGCTTCCAACGTTATTTTTATAAAGCCTTTTGAAAGTCAGACTTTTTCTTTTTTTTCCTTAAAGAGTTTATTGTCAAGTTGGTTTCCATACAACACCCAGTGCTCATCCCCACAAGTGTCCTCCTCCATGCCCATCCCCCCTCCCCCCCACATCCATCAGTCCTCAGTTTTTGTCAGCATTCAAGAGTCTCTCATGGTTTGCCTCTCTCCCTTTCCCCCACCATTTCCCCCCTTCTTCTCCCCCACGGCCCTCCGTTAAGTTCCTCCTAATCCTCCTATATGTGCAAACATATGGTATCTGTCCTTCTCTGCCTGGAAAGTTGGACTTTTTCTATACGGTACTTAAAAAGAAAACCTAGTATGTATGTTGGAGAGAGTATCTTGGGCATGGGGCAAAATCAGCTGCCCCCCCCCCCCACCTTAGACTCCTTACATTAGCTTTTTAACCCTTAGATTGCCTCGGGATCTTTTCCACCTCCTCCAGGCTGCCAGAAAGCTCCCCACATCCCAGAGACGAGGTAGTGTGTGACAGCCAGGTGTCTTGATTCTTGGCTTCTCCTCTGTGGCAGCCAGTTAGGGTAGCTACAGCTCCCTGAATTTAATAGAAACTGACAACAGAGAGTTGAGTCAGACGGAGATCAAATGCCTGCTTTCAGTAGTCCAAGTACTTAAGGGCCTTTTTCTCCTTTGTAAGCTAAGAAGTGGGCTTTTTTGTTTTTAGTTTAGTTTAGTTTTTTATACAGTGGGAGAGTCAGTTATCCAAGCTGATTTTGCCAAAGCTTTATGAGAAGGGTTGGGGGTAGAAATACAACCCATACATTTCATCCTTATAAAGTCAGTTGGAGAAAAACCTCTTCCAGAAGCCCACTTTCTTTTGAAATAGCTCTTGATAGAACTTTGTGGTTAGATAATTTTTTTAGGTTCTTTTTTTTTCCTTCTAAAGAAGAACAGGCAATAATAAATTACTCATGGGTAAAATCTGTGAGCTTTATGGAATCTATTGAGGTACTCGACAAATTTCAAGCGTTAACGCTTGGAATAGGGTATTTCCCTCAATACAGGGATATTGTATTATGTTGCCTTGCCTCTTTATTAAGAGAAACTATTTAAAGTTTTTATTTGCAGCTTTACTTTTGATTTGTGGGTAATATAATGTCAAGGAGATGGGATCCTTTCAAAAGAGAGTCGACATCAAGAGGTAGACTAATCTGTGGTCTAAAATCTTACAAGAACTTACGTTAATTATTTAATATATTCAAATCTCATTTTATCCAAAGTGTCAATTACATAATCACATCTGTATTCAGGGTTGTGGTAAGAATTAATGTATACAGAGCGCCTCATAAGGTAAACACTCATCAATGATAGTAGGAGTTATCACGGTGAAAGTAATGTATCTGGTCATTTTGCTAGAACTTTCTTTCCCTTCTTTTCAGGAAAGACTTAGCTGAATATCAGAAAAACTGTGAAGATCTTAAAGAGCGACTGAAGCATAAAGAGTCTCTTCTTGCTGCGAATACTTCTAACCGGGTTGGTGGCCTGTGTTTGAAATGTGCTCAGCACGAAGCTGTTCTTGCCCAAACCCATAATAACGTTCACATGCAGACCATTGAAAGACTGACTAAGTAAGTGTGCTTCTCTGCGTGCAGGCTTTGGTAACGTGGAAAATTGCATCTTTAAAGGAGCGCTGTGTTTTTTATCGCGGTGCTGGCTCATGAGTGACACTGAGCTTCAAGTAAAATGGACTTGAAAAGGTTCCTCCACCGTAGCTTTCTTGAAGACAGCACAGCTGGGTTCTTGCTGAGGGTGTGCGAGCAGTCATTTAGGCCAAGTGATTTATCTCTCTAGGCTTCAGTCTCATCTTGAAGTGAGGGAATGGACATAGAGAGTCTTTACAATTCCCCGCATGTCTAGGAGTCTATAACTGCAAATCCAACACTGTTCTTAACAAAACTGAGTTTGTGAGGCTCTCATGTTCTGATGTTGCCAAGTCCTGGATTTCGTGCCGCAGCGTAGGTAGGATGAGTTCTTATCACGCCTTCGTTGCGCGTCTGCTGTGAGGAATATTACCAGTGCATTGGAAGAGGGACTCACTATATCCGAGTATCAATATTTGAAGATCAGCTGCGGGCGGACAAGTTACGAATGACCTTTCCTGTAGTCCGTCTAGGCTGAAATACGACAGTTCTCAGTGCGTACCCTTTTGTCCTATTTTCATATTCCAGGGAACTGTTTTCCTCTGCAGGGTTCTCCCATGCGGTTGAGAATTGCTATTTACGAGACTGTCCAATGGTGATTTGCAGTGTGTGTTCGCCCCTACTATTCCCTGTGCTTCAAGGTCACCCCTGTCTCTTTACTTGGGCTCATTTAAGTAGCTCAAACAGCACCTCCTCCAAGAAGTATTCTCTGGCCCACCTCATTCCACCTTGTCTTCAGTTGATTTAGGCTCCTCTCTTCCATGATTTTATGAGCTGTTGGAGGCGGCACGGGTGATCTGTTTATGTCTGTAGGCCTGGCTTCTAGCAGAGGACCTGGCCTGTGGTAGATCCTCTGTGAGTGTTTCCTGCTCGTAGGACAAGGCATTTTGGCCTTTGCTGCTTAACAGTCAGAGATCCTACTGTCAGACCTGGTGTGGAGAATGGAAAGACCTGTTCATTACAGTCAGGCCAGTATTACTCTGTGGTTTGACCTCTGGACAAATGACTTCTCCGTGTCTGGACTTGTGTTGTTTGGGGGTTTTAGGGGGTGCTTAGCCTTGGGGCTAGAGCACTAGCTTTTGAGTGAGACTGGCTGCCGAGATTAATTCTCTGTTCTACCACCAACTACCTGTGTAACCTCACGAAAGTTACTTAACCTCTCGTGCCTCAATTTCCCCATTTTTAAAATGGAGATAAAAGTACCTGGTAGGGGTATTTTGAGGTTTCATTAAAAGAATACCATACAGTGCTTAAAATGGTCCCACCAGTGATGTGAAAAATTCAAAAAAACCACAGAGATACAAAGAAAACACCTCAGTTTTTTTATTATTTGTCAGTCCAAATTACAAATGCTCCGTAAATATTAAAACTCCTCTGTACCCCTCCTATTCCAAAAGCAATCAAAATGCCATGGTTTCCACACATGATTCATCTGTTGGTTTTTATATAAAAACTGAATTTTCCAGTATGGACTGACTGGCAGTTTTTATGATCTCAGCTGATGGTTCTGAGATATTTGTTAAATATCATATTATTAAATATATTCTTAAATTATTCTTATAGATTTCATGTAACTATGAAATTTATTAAATATATATTAAATGTATTTTCAGATCCAACTACCATGTGGTACACATTTATATATGCTAAGGATTCTGCCAGGCAGTTTAAAAACATACCTTTTTTAATCTTGGTAAAGCATTCATGAGGTAAATATTATTACTGCCATTTTGTGGCTAGAGAAACTGAAACTCAGAGAAATTAAAATTTTGCCTGTTTACTTTTGAAAAAAACAATAGAGCCTTATCTCACAAAAACAAATTCAAGGTGGCTTAAAGACCCAGATCTAATTCAGGGTATAAAAATATTAAAAGCAATTATAGAAAATTATTTTCATGGTGTTCGGCTAAAGTCCCGTGCATGGTATGGAAAATGAATGGCATAAAGGAAAAAGAGTTTACGTTTAACTTCATTTTAAAAAAGCTTTCTCCTTTTAAATGTTTGTTTATTTTTGAGAGAGAGGGCATGTGTGCATGCATATGTGGGGGAGGGGAAGACAGAGGGGGACAGAGGATCCGAAACAGGCTCTGTGCTGACAGCAAAGAGCCCAACATGAATCCTGAGATCATGACCTGAGCCGAAGTCAGATGCTTAACCAACCAGCCACCCAGGTGCCCCCAAAAGAAACTTTTTATGATACAATAATACAAATTAAAAGACTGGGGAAAATATTTGCACGTTACATAACAAAGAATTGGTATAATATATACAGACTGTCCTTTGAAACACAAAGGACAAACTGCCCAGTTGCAAAGTGGATAAAGGATAGGAATTGGTGAATTCCCCCAAGGAATATGTATTTACAAAATGGGGTAGTTCCGGGGAATGCTTTTGCAACATTATTTGTAACGGTGTTGTGATATTGTGATAGGATCAGAATTGCATATTTTGGTCTTCATCTCTGGTTCCTGGCATATAGCTCCTAAAGCCCTTGTAATTTCCTAAGTGGTAGGAAGAGAAGAACATCCATTGTTTGGGTTTTGTCCCCTGCTCCTGAAATAGCTCTGGAGCATACAGGTGAAAGGCACATCATTTGTTTTTCTTAACAAGCTCCTTCCAACCACACCTGGGTTTATGTTAACAAGGCAACTTCTGGAACCCCAGTAAGGATGGTGTGCTGGTTGCCAGGGGAAGCATCCTGGTGAGGAGAGAATTGGGACTTTCAGCCCCTAATCCCCAGTCTCTGGGAAGTAGGCCAGGGAATAGAGGTTGAGTTCAGTCACCAATGACTAATGATTTAATCAACCGTGCCTATAGAACTGCCATAAAAACCCTAAACCATGGGATTTGGAGGGCTTCCGGGTTGGGGACCAAGGTGCCAGGCGGGTGGCAAGCCCAGAGAGAGTGCGGCAGCTCCACACCCTTTCCCACATACCTTGCCCTGTGCATCCCTTTGCTTTACCTGTAGTGAGTTGTATCCTTTACAATGAATGGGGAATAGTAAGTAAAGTACTTTCCTGAGTTCTGTGAGCTGTCGTAGCAAATTATGAAAGCTGAGGAAGGGGTCAGAAGAACCCCTGATTTGTGGCCAGTTGTTCAGAAGTACAGGTGACGAGCCGGGACTTGAGAGTGGCACCCAAGGCCGGTGGACAGTCCCGTGGGGCTGAGCCTTACCCTGTGGGGTATGCGCCGACTCCAGGAAATTAACGTCCCCTCTGAGTATCAGCTGAGAGTTAGAGAATCGCTTGGTGTGAAAAACCTGCACGTAATGTGTCAGAAGAGTTCTGAGTACAGACACTGTAGAAGAAAACAGAAGTGTTTCTTTTGGGCTTGAACAACTAAATATCCGTCAGAGGTTTACATACATTATGTTATGCACAGTAAAAGAAAAAAAGAGTGAGGTAGATCTAGATATACTAAGCTCCGCAGTAGATTTTTGAAGGAAAGAAAACAAGATGAAAAAGACACATGTGATACGAAACTGTTTGTATTTTCGTTTGTAAAAGTCCATGCACAACCATACGGTGAATTTTGTCCAGGTTCATACATACACATAGAAAAAGGTTTAAAAGGATAAGCACTAGGTGTTTAATAGTGATTACCACTGGGGAGGTGGAGGAAGGCACTGAAATTGAAAGTATGTGTCACACGGGTCTTTAACCTTGTTGATAATTAATTCTTCAAGGAGAAGATAATGAAAAATTAATTTAAAAAGGGCAGAAAGCATATTCGACGTCACACAGAGGAAGACAGGCAGAGTTCAAGTCGCCTAGCACAACCAAACCAAAACTTAAAAGCAGGGTTTCTTTCCCTACTACCTTTCCTATTATCCTTGTAGGTCATGAGAAAAGTATTTTAAGAGGAAGCTACAATGTTTACATTGATTTCAAGGCTGGCAGTCATTTAGAAACTAGATTATTAGTTCTGTGCTCCTTTGTCTCTATCCTAAATTTCAGCTCGTAGCCTTTTAAAATAAATGGCACCCTTCTCAGTTCAATTTTCTGCTTTGTCAGCATAGCACTGACTCCTGTTCTACTTTAATAACAGAGTACAGTGGAAGGCCACTGCTTTTGTGGTCAATGAAACCTTTGTCTAGAGGATTCCTTTGGCCTAAGCTGGTGTTCCGCTTCTTTCAATATATTAATGCAGGATGCTGAATATTGAGTGTTATGCTGACTTGGAAGAGTGGCCAGCACTCTTTAGGTCTGGGTTTTTAGTTTTATGCATAATTAGAAGGCTGAGCCCTCAGTGAGCTGTATCACAGAATTCCCTGCATGACTCTAAGATGGAATGTAAAAAAGCACTTCTGTCCCAAATATGATAAATCAAGAGTGTCCTGGCCTTGAATTGAAATGTGGCATTGTAAGTTCCCTTGTTGATCTGTGAGCCCGGAAGGCACTGGGTAGATGACACAGGACCGACTTGAGTGCAGGAAACGGGCAGGATCAGCCATGACTTAGAGACCAGGCCACCAGCTTGTGTGTGGCGTTTTGTCAGGGCCGTAAGAACTTTCTGGAGAGTATACTTAACCCCTGTTGATGACATGGGATACGCTTTAAAAGCTGATTTGAACTCCACGTAGTGTTTCTGAAGTTTTGCCTCTTACTCGGGCATCATCATGCCTTGAGGTCAGTAAACACCCCCCCTCCCCCCACTTTCACTTACAGATAGAAATGGCTTCAAATGATAATCAAGGCAGAACTGCTTTATATTAAATTCTCTTCTGTAGCTCATAGTGCCTTGGAGGAGTTTCAGTGTACTGTTCAGAAAGGAGAAGTAATTACTACTGTATTATCCTGGGACTTGAGTCCAGCTTGTGATTTTTTTGAGTGGGTCTTGGCAGTGTTGTGTATGGTTGGCTTTGAGAGACCAGGGCAGGAACTTCCCAGAAATGGGAACAAGGAAATGTTGTAGTCAGCTTTCTAGATTTTCTTTTAAAAAACAGGGATAATAGTAATGATGCTTAATGATGCTTGAAACTGGTACTCACTGTGGAATATTGAGGAACTAAAGGCATTTTGTGGGCATTTTATATTTCAAGATGAAGCTCATGTCTATATATCAGACCAACTTTATTTTTTAATGTTTATTTATTTTTGAGAGAGAGCGAGAGGGAGAACACATGCACACAAGTGGGGAAGGGGCAGAGAGAGAAGGAGACCCGGAATCAGAAGCAGGCTCCAGGCTCTGAGCTGTCAGCACAGAGCTTGACACGGGGCTCGAACCCACAAACCGCGAGATCACGACCTGAGCCAAAGTCGGACCTTTAACCAACTGGGCCACCCAGGCACCCCTCTTTTCCTTGTTTTAAACATTTGACCATGATTCTTTGGGGACGTTCTCAGTCCTCATTGCTCTGATTGTTGCACTATGTTCCTTAAATACTCTGTGCTTGTCTCATTAGTTGGTTCATCTGAGAACTCACACCCAAGCTCCTTCCCTTATCTGCTGCTTTAGCTGCTCTTTCATCTGGATCATGCAGTGGGGCACCATTAATGCTGTATTGCTTGCTTTGCTTCAGAAAGCTCCTTGAGAACGTTTACACGGTGTTCATTAGGCACTCACAGAACTCTGGCCACAGGAGATGGTGACTTAGAGAGCCACCATCTCACACTCACATTGGTAGGCCATGTGCATTGATACAGCTTCCTGCTGGGAGGCGCTCACTCAGGCCTGGGTCTGGGCTGGGGCTGCGGCCTGGGTGCTCTGGAGCAGGTCTGTAGCTGCCCCTATAGTCATCCTGGGTGGCTGGGATTGGCTGCTCCTGAGGGCCAGGTGATGAGGAGTGGAGTGGGACTGAGAAAGGGGAGCTAAATCAAGAAGGTGACATAGGAGCAGGACCCGAAGCAAGACCTCGTGTTGAGGACAGGGCCGACATGCCCAGAGCCGGGTTCGTTTTGAGTGCTTGCTGTTTGGATGTGAGCGGGCTGAGTTGAGACGAGGCAAAACAAAAAATGCAGCGACTGAGTGGATAATCCCCAATTACCAAAATGGTTCCTGTACTTGCAAGTATACGTGCAAGTTGGGCCTGCCTCCTGAGCTTCCTCGGCGGTTTGGGGACACCGGAAAGCATGTGGTGCATTTCTCTGACAGGACATCAGAGTGTGTCTGTCCAGTGGCTCTACAGGTTTTTAGCCCAATCATTTTATGGGCTCACTGTTGAATGATGAGCTGAACAAGACATCAGTATTTGGGGCTATTTATCTCTGATGATTGCCTGTGGTCTAAAGTTGGTGAGCTGACAGTCTGAAAAATATTTGAACCAGAGTAACTAAGCTCCTTAGTTTCCAATTCTAAATAACCTAGTGACTTTTTAAATTTAGATCATAAAATACTAGAACTGAGACGAGTGTTACTTTACCTCCTCTGATGCCCTCCTAAAGCAGAATCACTGCAAATTCATCTGGTCTTTTGCACTTTATTCCATTGAATATCTACTGTGTGGCAGACTCCTTTTAGCAAGAGGATGCACTGAAAAGAGGTTACATGTATTAAGCGTTAACTCTCCTGTAAGAAGCATATTAGTTGGATTTTGATCTGTTGTGGTCTGTCAGCATACTATAAACACTGAGCTTTTCTGTTAACTCTTTTTAGTTGGAACTTTGGCTTCAATGATAGCATGGTGTCAGGAACAGATCAGAGCACCACTAAATAGTAACTTGAGTTTCTTAGTTGCTCATACGACTTTAAGAAAGGTGATTATATGATGCCCATTGTGACTTGCAGCCCTTAAATAGTGAGTTTTTATTTTCTTCTAGAATCGTAGGTGCTAGTTGAATTGCATACTTTTTTCTTTTCCTTTTTTTTTCTAAGTAGGCTTCATGCCTAGCACAGAGCCCAACGTGGGGCTTGAAATCATGACCTTGAGATCAAGAGTCAGATGCCCCACTGACTGAACCCCCCTGGACTGCATATTGGTTTTTTTTTTTTTAATTTTTTAAAAAAAGTTTATTTATTTTGAGAAGTGGGGAGGGGTAGAGGAACAGGGAGAGAGAGAATTCGAAGCAGTCTCTGCACTGTCAATAGAGAGCCTGACATGGGACTTGATCTCAGAACCGTGAGATCATGACCTGAGCTGAAATCAAGAATCAGGAGGCTTAGCCCACTGAGCCACCCAGGCGCCCTAACTGCATATTTTTTTTAAATGTTTATTTATTTTTGAGAGAGAGAGACAGCGTGAGCAAGGTAGGGTCAGAGAGAGAGGGAGACATAGAATCTGAAGCAGGTTCCAGGCTCTGAGCTGTCAGCACAGAGCCCGACACGGGGCTTGAACCCACGAACCAGGAGATTATGACCTGAGCTCAAATCAAGAGTCAGAGGCTTAACCCACTGAGCCACCCAGGAACCCTGACTGCATATTGTCATCTTTCATGTTAGAACTTTTTTGATATGCAAATAAATATAAATTCAGTTTTGCCATCATGTAATCTATTTTTTACTTAACCAGAACAATATAACCTTGCTTTGATTCTTCTATTTTTTCACATAATCACTGTGTTGGTTAGATTTAATCAAAATAGTGAACTCCATTTTCCTTTCCTTGAGAACAGAAGAATTAAAGAGCAAATTCTTTTTCTCAATTTAAAACAAACCAGGAAGTTCTAAAATGAATATCACTGTGCTCCCATGAATTTTATATTTGCAGCAAGCCTTTTTTTTTAACAAAAAGCTTTTATGAAACTGCTAATAATTGTAACTTTGTTCAGTATTACATATTTCTTAAAATATGACTGCTTTCCAAATACCACAAATAGTTTAAATTACTTTGTCTTTAAGAGATTTTTTTTTTACATGGAGTTATTGGTTAATTCTGAAAGCCACTCAAACTCAGAGATTATAATCTTGGAAATCATTGCTCCTTAAATGTTGCTAAATTAAAAAAAAATCAGAGTTGGCTCTCTCCCAGTAGTTTGGAACTTGGCAAAAAAAGAGGAAACTTCAAGCAGTTACTTCCACTGAATTTGAAACCACGGTTTAAAACTTGAGCTCTCTAATGAAGCATGGAGTGGCATATGTAGCAGCCCAACTTAGACTTCTTTGCTTTGTGTGTTCAGAAAGTTGCCCGCCTCATTTTCTCTTTGGTCAACTGGTCATTTTTATCCAGTGGATAAATTCCAAGTATCCTAAAGTCTTATATGGGATTTATTTAACCCACAGGACTGGACCTCTGCTATGTTACATGCCAGAGTGTTTTGGCATCTAGTTCCATCTGTCCCCAAGAAAGAGTTAGCCTAGAAGGCTTCTGAGAATTGCTGATGAGGGTGTGGAGCCAGGCAGCGTCCAACCCAGCAGGATGAGATTTGGTTAAATCATGAGCCTTGTCTGTGGAAACAGGGCACTTGAGGGAGTCAGCAGCACCACCCTTTAAAAGAAGAAATGTGGGGCGCCTGGGTGGCTTAGTCGGTTAAGCGTCCGACTTTCGCTTAGGTCATGATCTCGCAGTTCGTGGGTTCGAGCCCCGTGTCAGGCTCTGTGCTGACTGCCAGCTCAGAGCCTGGAGCCTGTTTCGGTCTGTGACTCCCTCTCTCTCTGACCCTCCCCTGCTCACGCTGTCTCTCTCTCTCTGTCTCCTAGAAATAAATAAAACATTAAAAAAAATTTTTTTTTGAGTAAAAAAATAAAAGAAGAAATGTGTTCATAAGTAGGTGAAAGAATTTAATTGAAAGAGAAGGGCAGGGGCACTTGGTGGCTCAGTCAGGCGAGCGTCCGACTCGTGATTTCAGCTTAGGTCATCTCATTCATGAGATCGAGCCCCGTGTTGGGCTCTGCACTGGATGTGAAGCCTGCTTGAGATTCTCTCTCCCTCTCCTCCTGTCCCCTACCCCCATCATGCTCTCTCTCTCCCTCTGAGAGGTAAAAAAGAGGATTGTGGAGGGAAGACAAAAAGGAAAGGATCTATTTGTTCAGATAACTGAGTGAGAGTCAGCAGTATAGACAAGACCTTAGCAACCCCTGAACTTGTTTCTAGTTCCCACCTTCTTTCTTTGTCTTATTCCTTTTTTCCCCCTCCCAGCCCCCAACCTTTTAATGTGTAGACTGACTTCCTCTTTTCTGGACTTGAATCTGCAGCCCGTGGGGGGGTCATCCTGTCCACAGTAGGCGGCTATGCCTCCAGATGCAGTTGTGCCACGAAAGCTCAGCCTTTCTGGCCGCTCTGCCTGCGCCTGGCCAGGGGAGGACAGACTCTTTCTCCAGGGTGGGCCTTAGGACGTGCTGAGCCGGCCCAGCCTGGCGCTTCTTCTACTGTGCGTTCATGCTTTTTTCTTTCTGACTCCCGAATACACGATCGTGTGACCATTTCTTGTTTCAAATGATCTTTTTGTGCCGACAGGGAGAGAGATGACTTAATGTCTGCACTAGTTTCCGTCAGGAGCAGCTTGACAGACGTGCAGCAGAGAGAAGCTGGTGCTTATGAGCAGGTGAAGCAAGCCGTGCTAGTGGCCGAGGAGGCCAGCTTCGAGAAGACCAAGGCAAGTCTCAGATGGTCACGGTAAAGGCACCCTGTCACGGCTCTTTCTTTGAGTATTTCTGTGTCTGTTCTTCCTTAACTAAACTCTTTTTTTCCAAACACGCAAAGCGAACACCAGTCTTTTAACGTTGGGTTTCCTAAATTAAACAGAGTTCCTGTGGTTAGAATTCTTGGTCCTCTGCAAATCCTTGTTATGTTGCTGTTCAGAGAATAGCATGCAGCGTGGGAAGGTGCTCGGAGACTAGTGTGCCTCACCTCTTCATTTGCCGCTGATTTTGAGTGCTGTGAAAGTCTTTTTAAATTTTTTTTAAATGCTTTTTTTTGAGACAGAGAAGGAACGAGAACAAGTGGGGGAGGGGCAGAGAACAAGGATAGACACAGAATCTAAATCAGGCTCCAGGCACTGAGCTGTCAGCACAAAGCCCACCTGACATGGGGCTTGAACCCATGAACTATGAGATCCTGACCTGAGCCAAAGTCGGATGCTTAACCAACTGGGCCACCCAGGTGCCCCGAGTGCTGTGAAAGTCTTAATGCCATTTGTACACGTTCATGTATGACTGCAGGCAGATGTTTCTCCTCCATTCATGAGAGATTTTGAGAACATCCAAATATGCCACAGATAATGAGGAATATATGTGTGTTGAAGAGAATCTTTCGCTATGTAAGAGTCCAGACCCCTGGATCCGAAATCAAGCACATCAAGTGATCACGATAATGACAGTAATAGTTACCACTTCATGATCCGGCAGTGTTGTAAGCACTTTGAATCATGGGGGGTTATTGCCGATTCCTTGCTCCGTTTGAGCCCTCTGAAGCTGCCGTGTCTTTTCCCCAGCACCCCCCCCACCCAGCCACCCCAGCCTCACTTTGAGTCACTGGTGAGTGCTGTATTGGACAGTGCAGATACAGAACATTTCTGTCATCACAAAGAGTTCTATCGGACAGCTTTGGTCTAAGCCATATGGCAGCAGCAGCATTTTATAAGGCATGGGGCTCTTCAACTCTCTCTTTAGCTCCTTGGTCACTGCCTCATCCATTTGTCTCTGTCTAGTTCATAGACCACTGACCCTCATTGGTTCTTTCTAGACCACTGACCCTCATTGCTTTCATCACTAACGCCCCCTGTGCCTCTCATAAACGGCTATTCATTCAGACCAAACTCCCTAACACGCTTTGTCTCCTCAAAGACTCCTAGTTCCTCACTCGCCCTGAACCCTAGCTGTCCCTCAAGGATACTGTGCCCCCCCCCCCACAACCCTCCAGTGAAGGTTCTTTGTCACCCCTGTCACTTCAGCTGGCTGGGATGGAGGAATCAGCATTTATATCCCTCCTTACTGCCATTTTTAGGGCTTTGTCATCTACCTTAGTGGCCATTCCTCTTTGAAATCATTGTTGTCTGTCTCCCTTAATTAAATTAAGCTCTCAATCTAGATGCCACTATTTGGCGCTAATTTTAAAGGAAATCATCCATCTTATTACTTGGGTTTATAAAATAGTTGTTGGCTATTTGGTACTTATTAAGAGCTTTAGCATCTGAGCCTTTTCTCCCTTTTCTTTGTCTATCAGGTTGCTGTGAAAAAATACCATGGTCTGACTGGCTTAAACAGCAAACATTTCTTTCTCACAGTTCCAGGGGCTGTGAGCCCAGGATCAAGGCACCAGCAGATCTGGTGTCTGGGGAGGGCTTGATTCCTGGCTCATACGTGGCCGCCTTCTTACTGTGTCCTCACATGGCCAAGGGGCGAGGGAAGCTCCCTGGGGCCTCTTCTATGAGGCCACTAATCCTATTCGTGAGGGCTCCATCCGAAGGACCTAATAACCTCCCAAAGGCCAAACACTAATACCATTGCATTGGGGGTTAGAGGGGCACATACAAGGAGACCATAGTGCCCTCCACCGACCTCCTTGGGTCATCCTGAAAGGTGTCTACGTCCACGTTGTTAATACACGCAACACCGTGGCACCAGCGCACGTGGCTTGCTTACCCGTCGCGCTTCCCCTGCTCTGCAGTGACTGTCGTGAGAACGGGCGTGTCCATGGGATCTCAAACTCCGCAGCTGCTCTCTCTGACCAGAGCCTCTCTCCGCCTCCCCATCCCCATTAAACCTACTCACTGCCCTCGTCCCTGCCTCGCCTTCTTCGGCCTCCTCTCACGCCTCGTTTTATCTGTTGTCTCCAGGCCAGTCTTCCCTTTCCACTGATATACGAATTTTACCTCCCCGGCTGAACTCCCTACATTTGCTCCCCGCAGCCTGCCGTGTTGCCTACCCACCGAGCGGCCCTCCGCCCACCACTGCGCCCCGAGTAGAACCCGGTTGTCATCCCCGCTTCACGCCTGACTTCCACCCAGTCACTAAGTACACATCTTAGTTGCTGAACTTCTCTTGAATTCCTTCCTCACTGTCCCCTGTCCTGTTCAGGACTGCATCACTGCTAGATTTATGAATTACAAAGTCTTCTTCCTTTGCCCCGTTCCCTGCTCCGCGGCCGGAAGTGATCCTCTTTCAGGGCAGATTTGACCCTGGGATTCTTCGACTTAAAGTCTGTCTGGGGCTGCCCACTGCCTCCGGGCAGCCTCACGCCCTTTCACAGACATCCCAGGCCTGTCACGTGCTTCCTTCCAGCCTTCCGTGTCACTTACTACTCTCCTTAACAGACGTGGCCACTGTCAGCTGGGCAGGGCAGTTGAGTTCAGGGGCCGGACAAGGTCTTAGTAGAGTCAGCAGACCTAGATCCGAGTGGGCAGCCCCGCCACTCACCAGCCACGTGACCTAGGGCAACTTACTTAATTCCCCAGGCCACGGTTTTTCCTCGTGTGTAACGTGGAGAGGACACCCGTCTCAGTCTGTTCATGAAGACTGCATGTGATTGATTGATTGATTGAAGAAATCAAGTTTTATTTATTTATTTTGAGAGAAAGAGAGAGAGAAAGGGGGGGAGGGAACCAGTCGGGGAGGGGCCGAGAGAGAGGGAGACAGGATCCAAAGCAGTGTCTGTGCAGTCAGCTGGAGCCGACGGGGCTTGAACTCACAAATTGTGAGATCATGACCTGAGCCCAAGTTGGATGCTTCACCCTCTGAGCAGCCCAGGTGCCCCCAGTGGGGACTACGTTTTAAAGTGGGAATCTGTTATCTTGCAGAGACTTTGGCACACGGTATTTCCTCAGCAACTAGTGCTGCTGCTGGTGTTGGCTCCTGCTCCCCTGCTTATGCCCTGCTTCTTAGCCCCTGGGTCTTTGCACATGTCCTGCGAGTTCTTCTTCACTTCCTACCTGGATATATTCTCCCATCTTTCAGGTCTGCCACTCCAGAAAATCTCTGGGGGCACCTGGGTGGCTTAGTCGGTTAAGCATCTGACTTCGGCTCAGGTCATGATCTCATGGTTCATGAGTTCGAGCCCCACGTCAGATGAGCTCAAGCCCCTCTTTGGGTGAGCAGAAGCCCCACTTCGAGTCAGCCCCACTTCCCTCTGTCTCTCTGCCTGTAGTGGGATTCCCTCTCTCTGCCCCTCACTCACTTGCACCCTCTCGCTTTCAAAAAAACAAAACAAAACAAAACAAAACAAAAACAGACCCAAAACCTCTGATCCCCCATGCCTAGATTTGACATACCTCAATATGCCTGTATAGCAGGGTTTTTCCACCTTGGCATTGTTGATATTTTGGACTTTAACATAATTCTTTGCTGTAGAGGCTGTCCTTCCTGTGTCTCCTGGGATATCTAGCAGCATCCCCGGCCTCTGTTCACTGGATGCCAACAGTATCCTATTTCCCAAGTTCTGACAACCAAAACGTCTTCATACATTGCCAGAGCTTCCCAGGGGTGTGTGTGCGTGTGTGTATGTGTGCAGAATAGCCCCCAGCTAAGAACTACTCTTATTACAGCACTTATCAAAGTGTATTATTATTCCTTGTTTGTCTTTATCTTTCATCAGGCTTTACAACCTCTGCCATGAAGGAACTTACCCATCTTGTTCCGTATTAAATCTTTAGTACCTTGCACACTGCTTGGCACTTAATAGGTACCCAGCAAACATCCACTCACTAAGGGAATTGTGATCTGTTTTCACTAACAGACAAATTCTTTTATTCTTATCTTTCTAGTTTACCCACCTTTCCAGTGCCCAGCGAAAGCCTGATCACACAGTTTTTTTTTTTTTAGGTGACTTTGAGCCTATCAAGCATTGCTGAAGAAAGCCACAGAATGAATTCCATGGGAGGGTGGTACTGGTCACCTTCGGTTGTTAGAAGTACTGTTTAGTAATTATTGTCTTTGCAGTTGACCACCTTCGGTAAGGTAGGCAGGAATTCCGCTTCCCACGCTTCCCCAACTCCGCTCTTAGCTCCTCACACGGTGGTCGCCCTACGTCACTAACATCACAACCGACAGGAGCCCCTTCAGCGCCTTCGCATCCCTCAAACGTCTTCTGCTCATTTTTTCTTGCCCCTCTGGCCATCTTAACTTCCCAAGATGAATCTCTTCTCTGAGTTCTTGAAGCCTCCTGCTTGGAGGATTTCAGGGACCCTGAGCCATTCGTCACCACATCTTGTGTCTTCTGTCCCTCCCTCTCCTCTGTTACCCCGTCATCCTGTCTACAGCTATGAGTCTTGTTTAAACAAACAAGAGCCAGCCTTCACTTTGATCAGCTTCCACGTAATCAACCACCTTCCCACCACCGTTTTGCTGGTGGACCTTCGAAACAGGACTTCACCCGTGCAGCTCTTCGTTCCCCTTTGAACACCTTTCAGTCAGGCGTTCAACAGAATGTAGTCTGGTTTCATGCTACTGAATTGCTCGCTCAGTAGTCACCAGTCACTTCCTGATTACTAAACCTGGTGACCTCATCTCTGCCTTCATTCGACTCCAGCTCTGCTGTCTCCAAAGCCATTGGCTGACCTATTATAACACGTCCCCTTTTCCTCTTGATTTATCTGACATTTACTCCTGTGGGTCCTTTGTCGTGCTCTTTCTTCTCCTGTCCGTCTCCACAGCCGTCTAT